CTTTCTGGGAGGCACCCAAGGAACATTCCAGACTTGTGCTGGCTTCCAGCCTCTACACATGGGAGATACTTTTCTGCTTGGAGATCTTCAAGAGAAGAGTCAGCAGAGGGAATGCAGGAGCAGGCAACCTCATGGGGGACAGGAATTGCCTTAAGAACTTGGTGATGTGGGATGCTGAAGCAGCCTTCCAAAGTCAGGAAAAGAGCTGTCATTGGCAGGAAGGAGGGGACTGGCTGTCCTCTCCCAGGAAGGTCCCTTGGGCTCCTGGCCAGGCTTTTGGCTCCAGCTGGGCTTCAAGAAATCTCAGGGAGGATTCATCACTGTTAATAATAACTGGCACATGACTGAGTGCAGAACTGAAACTCTGGTGGCCAAGGGTGTCCTTGGAAGAGAAGGAAAAAGTTTGGGCAAAGGAAGAGGGTATCAGAAAGAGACACACACGTGTACTTACAGGGTGATTCAGGTGCACTTTACCATGACCCCCAGCCCTGCCCCTTGGTTAGGACAAACCATGACTACTTTCCAGCCTCAGATACTATCACTTATTCTAAGATAAAAGAATCATCCAGATATTTCTTGTGTTAGGCGATTTCTCAAACCTTGACCTCTATAGAAGAAAAACAAGGTAGGTCTTCTGTATAAAAAGGCTTTGAGCAACAATAAACATTGGCAAGAATGTGGGGGAAAAGGTACACTCATACATTACTGGGGGGGGGCTGCAAACTGGTGCAACCACTATGGAAAGCAGTATAGAGATTCCTCAGGAAACTTTTGAAATGGAACCACCATTTGACCCAGTTATCCCACTCCTTGGTTTATATCCAAAGGACTTACAATCAGCATACTACAGGAATGTAGCCATATCAATGTTTAAAGCAGCTCAATTCACAATAGCTAAGCTATAGAACGAACTTAGGTGACCTTCAACAGATGAATGAATAAAGATAATGTGGTATATATACACAATGGAATATTACTCGGACTTCAAGAAGAATGAAATTATGGCATTTGCTAGTAAATGGATGGAGCTGGAGATGATCGTGCTAAGTGAAATAAGCCAATCCCAAAGAACCAAAGGCCAAATGTTTTCTCTGATATGTGGATTCTAATTCACAACAAAGGATGAGGCACTAGGGAAGAATAGAGGTACTTTGGATTAGAGAGAGGGGAGTGAAGGGAGGGGAAGGGGTGGGAAGAACAGTGGAATGAATAAGACATTATTACCCTGTATGCATATATGATTACATGACCTGTGTAACTCTATAACCAGAAGAATAAGAAGTTGTATTCCATTTGTGTATGATATGTCAAAATGTATTCTACTGTTACGCATAACTAATTAGAACAGATTTTAAAAACAGTGTTTTGGATTTCTTTTTTTAACCTCCTCTTCATGGGACACATCTTGGCAATCCCCTTCTTCACCCACAGCTTAGTGTTCAGAACATCTGCTTAAGGAGCAGCACCTGGATTTTTTTTAATATTTATATGTAGTTGGACACAATACCTTTATTTTATCTATTTATTTTTATGTGTGTGCCGAGGATCGAACCCAGGGCCCCACAGGTGCTAAGAAAGTGCTCTACCGCTGAGCCCCAACCCCAGCCCTGGATTTGGTTTTATCTCCCTCCTTGCTTCAGTTTTTCCTATTCCTTACTTCCTCAGAGAGAGTTAAGGTTAAAGGTGGGAAGCCACAATGTCCAAAAATAAGAGTGAAGCCAAAATCCACTCAATGACTAATGAGAATTGTGAGGCCAACTGTATGGTCTCCAAGAATCCTCAGCCAAAGGGCTTCTGCCCCACTGCTGGCATGAGGAAAATGGAATGAACACTCTCAATTTTTGCTGAGGACCATTGGTCTAAAGGAGTTCCAACATTTTCTGAACTGTGGATGAATAAGGATAATTTTTATTAAAGACAAATGAACGAATAAAGAAGATTTTTTGTAGGATAAATCCCTTATTTCCTGGGTTTAATTCTAACCTAAGATTTAGAAGCAAGTTCAAATTTGAGTATAACATAATTTCACTTCCCTTGACAAGTTAGGAAATTTAAAAAAAAAAATCTACAAAAAGCGTAGGAGGAAATCAAGAAAATGGAACAAACATTGGCAAAACCAGAAAGTAGATAATACTGGGCAGCAGTGCCCAGTCACCTGACCTAGTATAGCCACCTTTCCCTGGGGGAAACTCCACAATGGTACAACCCAAGCCAACATGCTGCCTGGTCAAAACTTACCTATTCTGTATCCATTGGGAGATGAAGCATATTTCGGAGTGACCATGAACTAGTGGACATTGGAATATAATCAGAGATGCTTAGAAACCTAATAGTCTAGATAAACCAAAGGACGTCAGATACAATTTCCAGCAATAGAGGAGTAGATGATTCTAACTACTCTTAGACACGACCCTTCTACAATGAGATTCTAAACTGTAGACTTGTGTTTAGACTTAACTACCTTCACTGGGCTTTAGCATTGCTTTCCCCATTATAAATTAACTTACTGACCAAGGGCATACAGAAGTACCATTTATGTTCCAAGTGTTTGTGGGCAAAAATCTCTGAAACTCATAACATTTTTTTGGTGGATCCAGCACACAGAGGTGAGTGGAACCTGTTTCAAAGGGTTTATGCAGCAAGATGAAGTAAATTTGCAAAGAAGTTTGTGAACAGCTAGCCAAATTTCAGCCTGAGACAATTTTTATTATTTTTAATTGAACAACCTAGAAATGGGTTTATAAGGGAAATTCTTCGTGATGGCAACCACAGCACCTGGCACACATTTACCTCACTGATCCAGAGCCCACAGTGGACCGTTAGGATCTCTGAAACACTAAATCTGTAACGATTGAAGCCTGAACTGCCTGCTCCACCCTGGACTGGTCAGAGGAGAGTGAATGTACTTCCTCTAGCCAGTCAGTTGTCCCGGGCCTGAGCCAGGGGGCAGGAGGGGAAGCCACAGTGCCTTCATTATACTATTAAACTGTAATCATCTTTTTCTATAAGCATCTTTCTGTTTTCCCTGAAGGAGAACAGTTTAACTGCCACCCTGGTGCAGAGGTGCCAGCTCAGCAGAGCACTTCCTGTGGGCCTGGGAGGGACTTGTGCTCAGCAGGTTGTGGCATGCCCACTGACCCAGAGGCAGACTGGGAGGGTCCCTATCTTGGTAGAGGCTGGCAGGAACTCAGGCTCGAGAGGAGCCCAGGACGCAAGATTTAAGTTCACCCTTGGGGGTTTCAAAGTCATTCCTACACCTTGTTCCTAGACCCACTTAGGCCAAACAGCATGGATGTGTGTGTATGGATGTGTGTGTGAGAAAGAGGGGATGGGGGAGAACAAACATCATGGAAGTCTGAAGTTCTCCAAGTGTGGTCCCCAGAGGAGCAGCAACAACACCTGGAACTTGTCACAAATTTTCAGGTCCCACTCCAGAACCATTGAATCAGAAACTCAGGGAGGGGGTCAGCAAGCTGTCTTAATATGCCCACCAGGTCATTCTGTTGCACATGAAGTTCAAGAAGCCTTGTTCTAGAGAATAATGCTCCCCCAAACCAGTCCCATGATACATGTAAGGCCATCTCTCAAAATGCTTCACAATAACCAGAATAGAAAAAGGGTTCGGTGGTGAGATTAAAGATTCTTTCCTAAAGCCTTTGGCAAGGTACAATCTCTGTGATAAGAGATCAAAAATTGCCTTTTTCCAAATATCCTCAAGTAAACTGTAATAGTCAAGATGTGTCAAGTGTTGGGGATAAAGATTGCTACTGAATTGGTTTCTTCCTATTTCTTCTCTTGACCGGACAACTCAGAGTTGGCCGCTTTGTGACACTATGTGACACAGACCAGCCAATTGAATATTTGAAGACTCAGGTCCCCACCTCTGCAAAAATGATGCTAGCATCACCTACCTGTGAGGCCCAGAGAAGTTCATGTAAGCAAGCCCCTCAAAAGAAGTCTGGGGATTGAGCTGTGGTGACAGTTTAGGCCTTCTCATCAGGGTTCCCGGCTCCACCCTTCTCCAGGGAGTCACGTTGTATGATGACAACTGATTTGGGAGATGGGGTGAGCTGGTTTCATTTATGGTGCTGTCTCCATGATAGGAGATTGTTTTCTAGTCCAAATGGTTAAGGGTGTTAGGTTTCTATATGATGGTGATGTTAGTGACAAAGAAGAGAAAGAAGGAGGGACACTTGGTGCCCGCTATTGGGTACTGGGAACTAATATTTTTTCCCTATATAAATGAAGATAGGAAGACACATCTGAATTCCCCACATTTAAACTTTGTTATTGCAACACAAACAATGTGGAGTAGTGAGACCAATACCCTCCAATTGAATGACCTCAAACATTCTGTGGTGAAATTTCCTCTTTTGTTTAGTGCTGAATCATATACAGGAGCCAGAGGACAAAAGTCTCAGCATTGGGTGCCATCACAGAAGTTCAGGACCATTCTGGCTTTTGTTGTTTGCCCCTCCACTCTTTCTTTTTTTTTTTTTTTTTTAAACAGTGCAGGGATGGAACCCAAGGCCTTGAGCATGCTAGGCAAATGCTCTCCTACTGAGCTAAATGTCTCCTGTCCAAATATCGGGCCATTCTGCAAAGCTGGACAAGAAGTCCCATCCAAATTTCCCAGCTCACAAATGTGTTCCTTGAAGACCAGAAAAAAAGGATGGCCTGAAGGGGGCACACAGCTGGCAGGTGGCAATCATTAGCAATGCCCCCGCCCTCCTTTCCCTCGTTAAGGAGTGCTGGGGGGAGGTGCATATTCTCAGAGCTCCTAGCCACAGGCCAGGTAAACAAAGAAAACCTGCCTTATCTCTTTCTTGGCCATCCCTTGCAGTACAGCTGAGGGTTGGAAGGAGGATCCGTGACTCACACTTTTGCTCCGGAGGGGATTTAACTCCAAGATAACATTATCCATGTGGGGGTAAGGGATAGAAGCCAACTAACAAATTAGAAAGTTTACCTCGGGGCGCCTCTCCATGGAGCCCCCTTACCTTCCTCATTTAAAATCCATGGCAGAAATGCAAACACCGAGTCAAAGGCACAAGTGCCCTCTTCAAAGGCACAGGACCCAGCGGGCAGGTCCAAGGCACCAGCAAGCTGCAGGGCTGCAGGCACAAAGCGAGTTTCAGTTCGTGCTCCCTCGGGGGAGCGCTTGCACCAACCCGGGGGGACCATCTGGTGAAAGTGGGGGGATGGCATGCGGGAGGGGGCGGGAGAGGGATGCACTACCTCCCCCAGTAGCCACGGGGACTTCGCTACGGGACCTCATGCCCACTCCCACCCCAGGCTTGGCCAAGGGAGAGAGATTAACGGCTGCGGAGAAGGATCGAGAGGCGCCCTCGGATGGCCCAGCCCAGCACCGCGAGCCGTGCCACCGGGGTAGCAGGAGCTGGAGAGAGCCGCGAGAGCGCCCCCCGGGGGTCCTCCCTCGTCCGGGCCTTACCTTGCACCACCAGGAGGACGCCCCTTAGCAGCATGGTCGTGCTTCAGGGAGCAGGGCTGGGCAAGGGATGCAGGCTGCCAAGTCCGGGACCGGCTGCTGGTGGTGAAAGGGAGCGGGGAGGCGGGGGCACTGGGGCCCAGGAGGGAGAAGCCCAGAGGCAAAGTTTGCTCCTGGAGCTACCCAACTTTGCAAAGCGGGCGGAGTGGCAAGCTGGAGGTGCCTGTGTGGAGAGCGTCGCGACGCTGGGCTTCAGCGGGCGGTCAAACCGCGCGGGGGCCCCCTTGTCCCAGGCGACGCGGGAGCTGCTCAGGGACACGACCTCACAGTTTTTAGCAGCTAGCCACCGCTGGAGGAGAGGAGAGGAGAGGAGAGGAGAGGTCGGCACGAGGTGCCTTCCTTCAGGATTTTAAAGCTTGGGACCAGACCTCTTGCTGACACTTGGAAGGGGCAGGCCTTCCAGCAGTCCCTCCGCTGGTTGGGACCAGAGGCGCCTGCCCCGCCCATCCGCGGTGGGAACCAGCTTATTTCAGGGGACAGCCTCTCTGCATCTGGCATGTCAGTCCCGCAGGGTTGGCCCTAATTTTAACTTCTGCTCCCCAGAATGGAAGGGAGGGGAATTCTTTTAGGACAGTCTAGAGTAAAATTTGGAAAAGGTGGGTGGAATAAGTTTTATATCTCAGAAGTTTCAGTATTCATGGTCCAGTATTATTAACCCAGGAATACCCTCACCCTCTTTTTTTCATCCAGTGGAATTTGTGGCATGCCTGGTGCTCTGCATTCCCTCTGTTCAGTGAAATGGGGACATTCCACTTCTCCAAAAAACCATGATAGATTGGTCAGTAGAAGCTTCTAAACCGGGATGTGAAGGATAGGGGCTGTTCTTGGGGAGAGGTTACTTCTGAGGAATCTGTTTGATACAAGTTTGCTTTGAGCACTAAATGGGTCTCCAAAAGAAAACTCCCTCCCCCCAAACTTAATCTTCCTTGTAATTTTGTGCAGAAGGTTTTGTACCTGGGGTTCTCAAGCTAGAAGGTGCAGCAGAGTCTACTGGAGTGCTCCACCCAGTAGATCTGGGATGGGGCCCATGATTTTGTGCATTCCTAACCTGTTTTCAGGTAGTGCTGCTGATGCTGCTGGTCTGGGGACCAGAATTTTGAGGATCATTAACCAAAGCCAACTTCTGTTCAACCATCAAAGCCCTGTACCCATGCCTTCACCTGGCTTCCAGAGTCTGGATTTTCCTTGTCTTCATTGACAGCCTTCCTCAGTCTCTTTTGCTGTTTGTTATCTCTCTGATCCCTTAACACCTGAGAGCAAGTTTTGTCCTTTAATTTCCTATTTTTCCCATCTATTCCCTAAGTGATTTCATCAAGTCTTATAGTTTTAAGTAGCAATTATAGGCTGATGACTCCCAAAAGTACATTTCTAGACCATACATCTTACAAACTCCAGACTCTTTTATCACATTGCCACTTTAGTGTGTTCGTTTGGATTCTCCAGAGCTATCTAATATTTACCAGGCCCCAACATGAATGGCTCATGTTTCTTCCCAAATCAGCCTCTTGCCTTCCTCTACCTCATCTCAACTAAAGGAATTTTATTTTCTTACAGTTGCTTATGACAGAAAGCTTAGTCATCCTTGACTTGTTTCTGCCTCTTAAGACAATAAACAAACCTGCCAGATCAGGATTCAAAATACAGCAAGTGCTGACCCTGGTCCACATTCATGTTCGTGACCTGATTGACCCATGCCACCATTGATGTCAGCCTGAGATATCTCCCTGTTTTTGGCTTGCCCGCCCCTCACCCCTGACTCTATTCTTTTTTGGGGGTACTTGGGCTGAACCCAGAGGTGCTTAACTACTGAGCAACATCCCCAGTCTTTTTTTAATATTTATTTATTTGTTTGAGACAGTGTCTTAGGAAGTTGCTTAGGGCCTTGCTAAGTTGCTGAGACTAGCTTTGAACTTTTGATCTCCCTGCCTCTACCTCCTGAGCCACCATGCTTGGCTCCCACACTCCATTCTTAACACAGTGGTCAGGGACAGTCTTTCAATACAGAAATTGGGCCATGTCTCTCCTTGGTTCAAGATGAAACATCTTCCCAAATCATTTAGTAGAACCAAAGTCTTCCCAATGACCTACCAAGTCCTAAGAAACCTTCCTCAAGCCCCTTATTTCTCTGACCTCAACCACCTGGCTTACTTTCTTCCAGCCTCACAGACCTCTTGGCTGGTCCTCAAACACAGTCCAGCTGTTCTCTCTGGACTTTGCATTGGCTGTTCCCTCTGATTGAAATGCTCTTCCCCTAAGAACCATGTGATTTGTTGCCTAGAGAGGCAGATGTCACCTTCAGTATTAGGAAACTTAATAGCCTTCTCTCTAATAAGGAAAAAGTGTCTGGATCATTTTTAAAAGAATATGGAAAAATTTTCATGAGTTTTCAGTAAACAGTGATTCAAATGATCTAAAATCTGTTTGGCGTGTGCTATTTAGTATATGTATTTTATCCTTTGCCTCAGGAAAGAGCTAATAAAAGTGAGTATTTATCGTGTTCACTATTATAATTTTTTTTTAGGAACAATCTCATTTAACCTTCACAAAAGACCTACAGGGCAGGTATGATGATTATTGCTATAGTTTGGATCTGGAATGCCCCCAAAGGTCCAGATGTTAAAGGCTTAGTCCCTGAGCTACAGACTTCAGTGCTATCGGGAGACAGTGGCAGCCTTAAAGAGATGGGACCTAGTGGGAGGTCTTCATGTCATTGGGGATATGACCTTGGAAGGATGGTGAGACCATTTCCTTTTTCTCCTTTTGTATCTAAGCCATAGGTGAGAAGCTTTGCTCTATACAGTGCTCCCAAATGCCATGTGCTTCATCACCCTGGGCCCCAAAGCAACAGGGCCAACTGATCACAGACTAAAACCTTCCAAACTGTGAGCCAAAATCAATCTTTTCTCTTTATAAGTTGATCATCTCAGGTTTTTGTTATAGTATTGGAAAGCCCACTAATACACTTATCCCCCTTGAATGGATGAGGAAACTGAGCTACAGACTTCAGTGACAGCAAATGATAGAGACAAGACTCAAACCTACATCTACTTTATTCCAAAAGCTTATTATCTCCCTTGTCTTATATTCTTTTGAACTTCTTGCCCATAGATGGTACTAAATATCTGATGAATTTCTAGATTCAAAGAGATATGAATTCAATTGAAACTTCAAAACACTATTTTCAACCAAGTAAATTTTCAGCCACTATCAAACTGGTGCTCCTTTTCTCAAATACTCACAGAATAATTCAGAGTTTTAACATTGCCTTAGATTTATGTTGTATGTCCCAAGCTACAAGAAAATGAGAAACTCCAAAGCCCTGTGGAGATATGTAAAAGATTTAAAATATGATTTAAAACTTCAAGATGCCATCAGTTATTATCACCTGTGGAAAACAGAATCCTTACACATTAATACAAACATAGTCAAGATAAGAAATCTATTTGGCATATAACTGCATGACCCCAAGGACACATGATCCTTAGTCACTGGTGCAGGTCAGGGTATCTGGGAGGCAGACTCTGATTTTGAGTCCCATGTGCAGGAAGATTACTAAGAGGTGCTCTTGGGACCAACACCCAGAGTGGGGAGGAGGAGACTGGGCCAAGGGAGGAGTGAGATAAAAAGCAGGCTCTGCAAAGCCTCTTCTAACCCAAGGGAACTTGAGTTAATGGCCCACCTGATATATCCTATAATAGGCTGAAATGACCAGGGCTTTATACAGCTGCCTCTATCAGTCTTTGGATGTGGCCCAGCCTGGGACAGGTGTGAGCTGGCTCCTTGCACTGAGGCTGTCCTGAAGGGGCCAGAAACTGCAGGCTGTTTGATAATACTCTCAGATTCTGGGACAACAAATTCTTCCTTGAGAGGAGTCTCAGGAGGGTACATCAGTGTCCACTACAGACATCTGCAGAGAAAGGAAAGGACACTGCATGTGGACAAAGTCAGGAGGCAGGAAGAGGGCCAAGGAAGGAATTCAGAGAATCAAGAAATTACGTATGCCAGCCAATTCCTTTGGTCACTAATCATGGAGCCTACATGGCCATGGCACTTCATCATCATTTAGGAAAACAGGGTCAGCCTTCAAAAAAACCTGTCCTCCAAGATATAGCTTAATCAAATGCATGTTAAGTTCTGGCTTATGAAAGCCCTCAAGGTTAAGGTATTATAATATGTTCATCAGTAATCCCCGCAAAAGATAAATCTACATCCCCAAACTTGTGAATCTGACATTTTTGGGGAAAAGGGACTGTATGATTAGGTAATTATGTTAGAGATCTCAAGATGAGATCATCCTGGACTACTAGGTGGGCCCTTTATCAATGACCTTCTAAGAGACAGAAGTGACAGACACATAGAAGGTCATACAAAGTTATTGGAGGGATTGGAACAATGTAGCTCCAAGCCAGGGAATGCCTGGAACCTTTAGAAGTTGAAAGAGGCAAACAACAGATAGACCCCTAGAGCCCCAGAGGACCATAGCTCTGTAGACGCCTTGATTTTTGAATTTCTGATCTCCAGAACTTGGAGAGAACAACTTTCTGTTGTGATAATTTGTCTGACAACTGTAGGAAACTAACACAGATTAGTGTTACGCATTAAACAAACATGCCAGGTGCTTAACGTGGATTCTCTCATTTGATCTATGCAACATCCCCATGAGGTAGACATCATTATTCTCCATTTTATAGACAAGGCAACAGGCCCAGAGGGGTCAATTAACCCACTCAGATATACACAGTCAGCCAGCCAGTAGCCAGGATTTGATTCCAGATGTCCCACACCCCCGACATCATACCACACTGGTCCTACAAGCTTCCTTTTTACAAAGGCCTGTCTCTTTACAAAGGCTGCCAATAGCACACACAAGGGAGATGACCTGCCATCTCTGTAGGGACCCTGTCTTTACTGGGCCTGTCCTGTCCTCGCTGTCATTAAACAGACTTTAGTAGTAATCTGCTTTAGTAGTACCACTTTCAGCCTAGAGATTTCCAAATTCTTGCTTCTCACTTTCTGTGTCAGACCAGAAGGTGAAACACAGGTTCTCCTCACAGGTGTCTGTGTCACTCACATGCATCGGTGTCTCTCTCAGAGCTGGGCAAAGCATTAGAGAAAAGTTTTATCAGTGGGATCAGACAAAGAAATCCGGCTGATGCTGGCACCTCATGTACTCATTGACGCATGCCCCAGCACAGGCTGTCCTCAGTGCCACTCTCCCTTTTGTTGCTTCTCTCTCCTTTCTAGTCATTCTCATGTGTTACAAAATGATAAGTTCAGAAATCATTTTCTGAGCACCTACTATGAGCCTGATTCTGAGCTTGGTGCTGGAAAGCCAGCAGTGAACGAGATATATTCTCTGCCTCCAAGACAGGAAACTGACCCAAGAAAAGAGGATTCCAATAAAATATGAGAAAGAACCAAGGCTGCAAAGAAAGAGTCTCGGGATCAGGGAATAATATAAATGAATGAAGTGGGCTGGTATTGAGGAGGCAACAGAACTGATGGGGACTGTGGTGAACTGGAGAGGGCAGGCCCATTGAAATGGCCTGGGATCAGCTTGGCCCATCTGTGCATTTTTCAAAAGAAGCC